CACACTGGTCATTTACAACGTTCAGTGTATAAATCAATCACAACAGAAGATTCCCACACACCTTTTAAAATCTCCAATAAAACCACGCCTCTTGATATCTCTACAATATATACTAGAGCAGGGGTGACCAACCCTGCTCCTGGACATCTACCTTCCTGCAGATTTCAGTTGCAAACCTGACCAAACACACCTGTCTGTAATGACCAAGTGCTGCTTTGGGTCCGAGCGAATTGGTTCAGGTGTGTTTGATCAGGAGCTGAACTCTGCATGGCATATTTCAGGAGATCTACTTTCCTGCAGTGGTCACACTAGAGTTTGTGCTAGTAAAAATTCTGTCGTACGGCGCTGTGAAAAGGGGCAGGATTAAACAGGATGATTAGACGTTAATAAAGCGAGTGATTGGCTCCATATTTTAAATTTCTGTCCAGAGAGGTCATGTTTTGATATTTGATTGGTCTCAAGCAGTCACGTGATGCGATTTCGCAGGTCAGAGTTCACCAAGCTTGAACTACGCAACGCAGAAAACTGCAGGAGTATAAATGGAAGACCATGGGGAGAAATGTGCAGTGAGAGTGGCTTCAGGCACTGGTGTACAGGACACACCCCTTTACAGCTGATTGGCTGAAGTGTGTTTTAAATGTACATTAACCATTCACACGCATATTATTAAAAACCTGAATTAAAATTAAATATAAGGGAAAAGAAAGCAAAAATTACATGATTTAAAAAAAAAAAAAAAAAAACAACTTACATTTTAAAATAAACTAATTGCTATATTTTATTAAATAATTTTATATTATAAATGTAACAATTTAACTCATTCTCCAGGAAATAAAAACAACAAATAAGGGTAACAATATATTTCTAAAATTGATATATTTAATTGAATAATGATTATAACTGTATTGATTTAACTCAGCCGTTCTCCACAAAAAAAAAAAAAAAAAAACTCAAATTAAAAAAAGTAAAAAATTATTAATATTAAAAATAAATATATAGCAATATTTGATAGAATAATGCTTATAATTGTAAAGATGTAACTCACCCGTTCTCTGCTTTCCTCTTGAAGGACTCCTGCTCCGCCAGTAGCCTCTGGTGCTGCTCATACGCTGCCATCAGCCTGAAAAACACAACAATATCAGCATTATGTTGACTATAAAAACCCTTACCTTTACATCTATAACGACAACAATGTGCTGTATTGCAGGGACGAGCAATATGGACTCATCATATTTCTATTTTATAATTTATTGCAAACAAGATTATTTATATGTATTTACTGAGGCAAAAAAGTCCAGTATCTTCAGAAAAAAGGATTAAATGTCATGTTTTTATTTTATATTCTACTAAGTTCGAGAGAGTGTTTTTGTTTCATTCGTTCTGGATACCAGAGAGCGGCCTCATGCTTAATCTCCACACAGATTACTGAAGACAATGTTGAGTGAACTGGCCCTTTAATTCTATACTTAGCTGAAAATAAGTTTTTAAACATGAAAAATGTCAGTTTTTGGATGAACTGTGCCTTTAAATCTAAATGATCATACAATACTGAAATGAGTTAACACTACATATCTATCAATTTTGGGTGACCTGTCCCTTTAAGACTCTATAATACAGTATTTGAGTTTTTAACATCTAAAACTTTAATTGTGTGTGAACTGCCCCTTTAAGACTATAGGACATAATACCCAGGTGAAAACTCATTTTGAATGCCTGAAATGCAGATTTTGATGCCGTATGTCTGTAAGTGCTGCTCGTACGTGTTGATGTCGCTGCCGAAGTCCTCCAGAAAGTCCACCTTTCGTTGAGAGAAAGTGATGCGTGACTCCAGAGCCATGGAGCTGCTGAGCGCGCGGTCGAAACAGGCGATGATTTCAGCTTCGTTCTGCTGCACGTCTCCGCTGTACTCCAGCTCCAGCAGATTCAGGTACAGCTTCGGGTTCGTCTGCGGAGAGAAATGAGGAATATCAGAATCCAGCTCAAAATATGCGGTGTGCCGTTTCCTTCTGTCACTCCGATATATCGAGCTCAGACTTTAAAACACATACATGTAGTTGATCAAGATCAGTTCAGGTTTAAAAGTGTTGGTGTTGTAGCCCACCCCATTGCTACAGTCCTCAACTCCTTAGTTAGTCGTCAAACCTATAGCTACAGTCGTTGACACCGTAGTTAGTTGTCAAACCCGTTGCTACCGTCATCAACCTCATTGCTATAATCGTCAACACCGCAGTTATAGTGGTCAACACCGTAGTTAGTTGTCAACCCTGTTGCTACAGTTGCCTAACCCATAGGTACAGTCGCTCAACCCCGCTACTAGTAGTCCAACCCCGTAGTTAGAGTCAGCCAATCCGTAGCTAGTCGGTCAACCCCATTGCCAGTTGCCAACCACGTTGTTAGAGCTCCCAAAGCCGTGGCTACGGTCATCAACCCCGTTGCAACAGTTGTTAAACCTGTAGCTACAGTAATCAACCCCTTTGCTACAGTTGCCCACCCTGTTGCTCCAGTCGCTCAACCCATAGCAACAGTTGCACAAGCCAGACGCTAGTCGCAGACCCCGTAGCCGCAGTCCCCGAACCACGCAGCTAGTTTTCAAACCCTATTGTTACAGTCGTCCACAGCTGTTGTTAAAGTCATCAAAGCCGTAGCTACGGTTGTCAACCCCATTGCAACAGTAGTCAAACCCATTGCTACAGTCGCCCAAACCATAGCTAGGTCACCCAACCTGTAGATTATTTTCCCAACCCGAAGCTAGTCGCCCAACCCTGTAACTAGTCGCCCAACCAAGTAGCTACAGCCACCCAACCCCACTGCTAGTCGCCAACCCCATTGTTGTCCTCAAAGCCATAGCTACAGTCATCAACCCCATAGCTAGTCGCCCAACTCCCCAGCTAGTTATCAAACCCCATTGCAACAGTCGTCTAACCCTGCAGTCACCCAACCCGTAGCTAGTCGCCCAATCCAAAGCTAGTTGCCCAACCCCATTGCTAGTCACTAACCCTGTTGTTAGAGTCCTCAAAGCCGTAGCTACATTAGTCAAACCCATTGCTACAGTCGTCAAAACCATAGCTACAGTCGCACAACCCCCAGCTAGTCATCAAACCCCATTGCTACAATCGTCTAAGCCCAGTCGCCAAACCTGTAGCTAGTTGCTTAATCCGAAGCTAATCTCCCAACCCCATTACTAGTCACCAACCCTAGTGAATCCTTAAAGCCGTAGCTACAGTCGTCAACCCTCTTGCAACAGTTGTCAAACCCATAGCTACAGTCGCCCAACCCCGAAGCTAACCGTTAACCTCACTGCTATAGTCGTCAAACCTGTAGCTAGTCACCAAACCCTGTATCTAAAGTCGCCAATGCTCTAGCTACAGCCGTGCACCAAAATAAAATGTCTACATTCACTGAGAAATGGATAAAATATTCCTTTTCAAAAGGGGGTGCTGAACACTGTATATAAGAATACATCAGATAAGACTCCTCCTGTTCAGTTTTAGTTTGTTTGCTGTGAGCACACCTCATCTTTCTCCACAGCCTCCAGCAGCACCTTCTTGGCCCTGCCGATGCTCTTCTGCACTTTGACTAGCTGTCGGGCAAGTTTGACGCTGTAGAAGGAGGACTCGCTGCTGTTCCTCCCGTTGGTGATGGCGTCCTGCAGCAGAGCTTCCGCCTCCTCCATGTTCCCGTGCCGGCGCTCCAGACTGACCCGCCGCAGGCGAACCATCGCCAGACCCGGCACTGAAACCTCCACCGCCTTCAGGATGCTGCGTGCCTCATCGATGCTGCCTGCACACACACACATGCAATAAAGTCGGTGTAAAATCTAAATTTACAATGTTTATATTGCCAACATGCACTGTGTTCCCATCCACCGATTACAGCTGGAACAAATGCAAATAAAGCAGCGTTTACATCCAATGAGAAACAAAAGAAGAAAACCATCACTTCCTGAAAAACCGGAGAAATATCAGGCAGAGGAATTACAAATGTGTGTGTGAGGGTGTTTGTGTCATTAATGTTGGTCTGCAGATATAAATGTGTGTGTGAGGGTCTTTGTGTCATTAATGTTGGTCTGCAGATATAAATGTGTGTGTGAGGGTCTTTGCGTCATTAATGTTGGTCAGCAGATATAAATGTGTGTGTGAGGGTCTTTGCGTCATTAATGTTGGTCAGCAGATATAAATGTGTGTGTGAGGGTCTTTGCGTCATTAATGTTGGTCTGCAGATATAAATGTGTGTGTGAGGGTCTTTGCGTCATTAATGTTGGTCTGCAGATATAAATGTGTGTGTGAGGGTCTTTGCGTCATTAATGTTGGTCTGCAGATATAAATGTGTGTGTGAGGGTCTTTGCGTCATTAATGTTGGTCTGCAGATATAAATGTGTGTGTGAGGGTCTTTGCGTCATTAATGTTGGTCTGCAGATATTAATGTGTGTGTGAGGGTCTTTGCGTCATTAATGTTAGTCTGCAGATATAAATGTGTGTGTGAGGGTCTTTGCGTCATTAATGTTGGTCTGCAGATATTAATGTGTGTGTGAGGGTCTTTGCGTCATTAATGTTGGTCTGCAGATATAAATGTGTGTGTGAGGGTCTTTGCGTCATTAATGTTGGTCTGCAGATATTAATGTGTGTGTGAGGGTCTTTGCATCAATGTTGGCCTGCAGATATAAATGTGTGTGTGAGGGTCTTTGTGTCAGTAATGTTGGTCTGCAGATATAAATGTGTGTGAGGGTCTTTGCGTCATTAATGTTGGTCTGCAGATATAAATTTGTGTGTGAGGGTCTTTGTGTCATTAATGTTGGTCTGCAGATATAAATGTGTGTGTGAGGGTCTTTGCGTCATTAATGTTGGTCTGCAGATATAAATGTGTGTGTGAGGGTCTTTGTGTCATTAATGTTGGTCTGCAGATATAAATGTGTGTGTGAGGGTCTTTGCGTCATTAATGTTGGTCAGCAGATATAAATGTGTGTGTGAGGGTCTTTGCGTCATTAATGTTGGTCTGCAGATATAAATGTGTGTGTGAGGGTCTTTGCGTCATTAATGTTGGTCAGCAGATATAAATGTGTGTGTGAGGGTCTTTGCGTCATTAATGTTGGTCAGCAGATATAAATGTGTGTGTGAGGGTCTTTGCGTCATTAATGTTGGTCAGCAGATATAAATGTGTGTGTGAGGGTCTTTGCGTCATTAATGTTGGTCAGCAGATATAAATGTGTGTGTGAGGGTCTTTGCGTCATTAATGTTGGTCTGCAGATATAAATGTGTGTGTGAGGGTCTTTGCGTCATTAATGTTGGTCAGCAGATATAAATGTGTGTGTGAGGGTCTTTGCGTCATTAATGTTGGTCTGCAGATATAAATGTGTGTGTGAGGGTCTTTGCGTCATTAATGTTGGTCAGCAGATATAAATGTGTGTGTGAGGGTCTTTGCGTCATTAATGTTGGTCAGCAGATATAAATGTGTGTGTGAGGGTCTTTGCGTCATTAATGTTGGTCAGCAGATATAAATGTGTGTGTGAGGGTCTTTGCGTCATTAATGTTGGTCAGCAGATATAAATGTGTGTGTGAGGGTCTTTGCGTCATTAATGTTGGTCAGCAGATATAAATGTGTGTGTGAGGGTCTTGCGTCATTAATGTGTCAGCAGATATAAATGTGTGTGTGAGGGTCTTTGCGTCATTAATGTGGTCAGCAGATATAAATGTGTGTGTGAGGGTCTTGCGTCATTAATGTGGTCAGCAGATATAAATGTGTGTGTGAGGGTCTTTGCGTCATTAATGTTGGTCTGCAGATATAAATGTGTGTGTGAGGGTCTTTGCGTCATTAATGTTGGTCAGCAGATATAAATGTGTGTGTGAGGGTCTTTGCGTCATTAATGTTGGTCTGCAGATATAAATGTGTGTGTGAGGGTCTTTGCGTCATTAATGTTGGTCTGCAGATATAAATGTGTGTGTGAGGGTCTTTGCGTCATTAATGTTGGTCTGCAGATATAAATGTGTGTGTGAGGGTCTTTGCGTCATTAATGTTGGTCTGCAGATATAAATGTGTGTGTGAGGGTCTTTGCGTCATTAATGTTGGTCTGCAGATATTAATGTGTGTGTGAGGGTCTTTGCGTCATTAATGTTAGTCTGCAGATATAAATGTGTGTGTGAGGGTCTTTGCGTCATTAATGTTGGTCTGCAGATATTAATGTGTGTGTGAGGGTCTTTGCGTCATCAATGTTAGTCTGCAGATATAAATGTGTGTGTGAGGGTCTTTGCGTCATTAATGTTGGTCTGCAGATATTAATGTGTGTGTGAGGGTCTTTGCATCAATGTTGGCCTGCAGATATAAATGTGTGTGTGAGGGTCTTTGTGTCAGTAATGTTGGTCTGCAGATATAAATGTGTGTGTGAGGGTCTTTGCGTCATTAATGTTGGTCTGCAGATATAAATTTGTGTGTGAGGGTCTTTGTGTCATTAATGTTGGTCTGCAGATATAAATGTGTGTGTGAGGGTCTTTGCGTCATTAATGTTAGTCTGCAGATATAAATGTGTGTGTGAGGGTCTTTGCGTCATTAATGTTGGTCTGCAGATATTAATGTGTGTGTGAGGGTCTTTGCGTCATCAATGTTAGTCTGCAGATATAAATGTGTGTGTGAGGGTCTTTGCGTCATTAATGTTGGTCTGCAGATATTAATGTGTGTGTGAGGGTCTTTGCATCAATGTTGGCCTGCAGATATAAATGTGTGTGTGAGGGTCTTTGTGTCAGTAATGTTGGTCTGCAGATATAAATGTGTGTGTGAGGGTCTTTGCGTCATTAATGTTGGTCTGCAGATATAAATTTGTGTGTGAGGGTCTTTGTGTCATTAATGTTGGTCTGCAGATATAAATGTGTGTGTGAGGGTCTTTGCGTCATTAATGTTGGTCTGCAGATATAAATGTGTGTGTGAGGGTCTTTGTGTCATTAATGTTGGTCTGCAGATATAAATGTGTGTGTGAGGGTCTTTGCGTCATTAATGTTGGTCAGCAGATATAAATGTGTGTGTGAGGGTCTTTGCGTCATTAATGTTGGTCTGCAGATATAAATGTGTGTGTGAGGGTCTTTGCGTCATTAATGTTGGTCAGCAGATATAAATGTGTGTGTGAGGGTCTTTGCGTCATTAATGTTGGTCAGCAGATATAAATGTGTGTGTGAGGGTCTTTGCGTCATTAATGTTGGTCTGCAGATATAAATGTGTGTGTGAGGGTCTTTGCGTCAATGTTGGTGTGCAGATATTAATGTGTGTGTGAGGGTCTTTGCGTCATCAATGTTGGTCTGCAGATATAAATGTGTGTGTGAGGGTCTTTGCGTCATTAATGTTGGTCAGCAGATATAAATGTGTGTGTGAGGGTCTTTGCGTCATTAATGTTGGTCAGCAGATATAAATGTGTGTGTGAGGGTCTTTGCGTCATTAATGTTGGTCTGCAGATATAAATGTGTGTGTGAGGGTCTTTGCGTCAATGTTGGTGTGCAGATATTAATGTGTGTGTGAGGGTCTTTGCGTCATCAATGTTGGTCTGCAGATATAAATGTGTGTGTGAGGGTCTTTGCATCAATGTTGGCCTGCAGATATTAATGTGTGTGTGAGGGTCTTTGCATCAATGTTGGCCTGCAGATATAAATGTGTGTGTGAGGGTCTTTGTGTCAGTAATGTTGGTCTGCAGATATAAATGTGTGTGTGAGGGTCTTTGCGTCATTAATGTTGGCCTGCAGATATAAATGTGTGTGTGAGGGTCTTTGCGTCATTAATGTTGGCCTGCAGATATAAATGTGTGTGTGAGGGTCTCTGCGTTATTAATGTTGGCCTGCAGATATAAATGTGTGTGTGAGGGTCTCTGCGTTATTAATGTTGGCCTGCAGATATAAATGTGTGTGTGAGGGTCTTTGCGTCATTAATGTTGGTCTGCAGATATAAATGTGTGTGTGAGGGTCTCTGCGTCATTAATGTTGGTCTGCAGATATAAATGTGTGTGAGGGTCTTTGTGTCAATGTTGGTCTGCAGATATAAATGTGTGTGTGAGGGTCTGTGTGTCATTAATGTTGGTCTGCAGATATAAATGTGTGTGTGAGGGTCTTTGCGTCATTAATGTTGGTCTGCAGATATAAATGTGTGTGTGAGGGTCTTTGCGTCATTAATGTTGGTCTGCAGATGTAAATGTGTGTGTGAGGGTCTTTGCGTCATTAATGTTGGTCTGCAGATATAAATGTGTGTGTGAGGGTCTTTGCGTCATTAATGTTGGTCTGCAGATATAAATGTGTGTGTGAGGGTCTTTGCGTCATTAATGTTGGTCTGCAGATATAAATGTGTGTGTGAGGGTCTTTGCGTCATTAATGTTGGTCAGCAGATATAAATGTGTGTGTGAGGGTCTTTGCGTCATTAATGTTGGTCTGCAGATATAAATGTGTGTGTGAGGGTCTTTGCGTCATTAATGTTGGTGTGCAGATATAAATGTGTGTGTGAGGGTCTTTGCGTCATTAATGTTGGTCTGCAGATATAAATGTGTGTGTGAGGGTCTTTGCGTCATTAATGTTGGTCTGCAGATATAAATGTGTGTGTGAGGGTCTTTGTGTCATTAATGTTGGTCTGCAGATATAAATGTGTGTGTGAGGGTCTTTGCGTCATTAATGTTGGTCTGCAGATATAAATGTGTGTGTGAGGGTCTTTGCGTCATTAATGTTGGTCTGCAGATATAAATGTGTGTGTGAGGGTCTTTGCATCAATGTTGGTCTGCAGATATTAATGTGTGTGTGTGAGGGTCTTTGCATCAATGTTGGTCTGCAGATATAAATGTGTGTGTGAGGGTCTTTGCGTCATTAATGTTGGTCTGCAGATATTAATGTGTGTGTGAGGGTCTTTGCATCAATGTTGGCCTGCAGATATTAATGTGTGTGTGAGGGTCTTTGTGTCAGTAATGTTGGTCTGCAGATATTAATGTGTGTGTGAGGGTCTTTGCGTCATTAATGTTGGTCTGCAGATATAAATGTGTGAGGGTCTTTGCGTCATTAATGTTGGTCTGCAGATATAAATGTGTGTGTGAGGGTCTTTGCGTCATTAATGTTGGTCTGCAGATATTAATGTGTGTGTGAGGGTCTTTGTGTCATTAATGTTGGTCTGCAGATATAAATGTGTGAGGGTCTTTGCGTCATTAATGTTGGTCTGCAGATATAAATGTGTGTGTGAGGGTCTTTGCATCAATGTTGGTCTGCAGATATAAATGTGTGTGTGAGGGTCTTTGCATCAATGTTGGTCTGCAGATATAAATGTGTGTGTGAGGGTCTGCATCAATGTTGGTCTGCAGATATAAATGTGTGTGTGAGGGTCTTTGTGTCATTAATGTTGGTCTGCAGATATAAATGTGTGTGTGAGGGTCTTTGCATCAATGTTGGTCTGCAGATATAAATGTGTGTGTGAGGGTCTGCATCAATGTTGGTCTGCAGATATAAATGTGTGTGTGAGGGTCTTTGTGTCATTAATGTTGGTCTGCAGATATAAATGTGTGTGTGAGGGTCTTTGCATCAATGTTGGCCTGCAGATATAAATGTGTGCGTGAGGGTCTTTGCATCAATGTTGGTGTGCAGATATTAATGTGTGTGTGAGGGTCTGTGGGTCATGAATGTTGGTGTGCAGATATAAATGTGTGTGTGAGGGTCTTTGTGTCATAAATCTTGCAGATTGCTTGGCTGAAATGTTGTATAAAATCAGAGTGAATAATGAATTGTTATGTAATTACCCTGCTGCTCCTCAAAGGCGGCCCAGAGCAGGTGAACGTTGGGTTTTTTGGGCAGGTGGACGGTGCAGGCCTTCTTGTAGATGTGGCGAACAGCTTCAGTGCTGTAGCTCTCCAGATACTTGGCGTACTATAGAAAACAAGCAGGAGAGAGATAGAGAGAGAAGGAGAAGAGAAAAGCAGAGAGAAAAAGGAAAGAGGCAGAGAGACAACAGAGAGAGGAATGGAGAGAGGGAATAACAGAAAGAAAAAAAGGAGAGAGCACAAAAATTGAACCTTCATTTCACATCCTCGCCACTGCTGAATTTCCATTGACAAGATCGTTTTGAGAATTTCTGTGTTAAACCCATCAGCACCTTCATGGAACCAATAAGATAAGATTCTGTAAGGTAGAAGGAGACGGAGAGGTGCAACGTAGTTGGCAAATGCTGCAGTCAAATCTTGTGTGGCAAGCAGGCCATCCCCTAATATAACAGATACAGTCAAATATCAACGTTACACGCAAAGAGTGCAGCAAGTTTTACTGTGGAAGTGATGAATTCGTTGATGGGGAAGCATAGGGTGGACAGAGGGCATGGCGGAGGGCGCGCGGCGACAGAAAAGCGGATTTACCTTGATCCAGAACTCCTCGTAGAGCGCGCAGGCGATCAGACAGCGCTCGAACAGCACCACTACCCGCTCCGGCGTCCCGTTCTCCAGCTCAAAATCCAGGTACTCCCGCCAGTTGTTCAGCTGCGTCTTCTCCAGCGCTTTGACGTGGAAATACGGACGCTTGATCTGCACAATGCAAGGCGAGGTTATTTACATTCCATACATGCAAAGTTGAGTGCTGTTGGGTTACTTTCATGCACTCTGAGCTGATTTTGAGGCTTAATTTGGCCAAAACATTTTGTGTTTTAACAAATGGAATAATTTTTGTATCTTATTTTGACACATACTTAGGGGATTTGTTTTTTATAATCTTTCAGTGCATCTTCCCAATGGGGAAATTTACTACACTTGTGCTGGTGGCTGTTTTTGCCCCATTGACTTCCAATAGTAAAGCCGATTAGTGTAGGCCAGGGGTGCCCCACTCTCGGTTCTGTAGGGCTGGTGTCCGGCAGACTTTAGCTTCAACCACACCTGATCAAGCTTTATGTATACTAGAAACTTCCAGACAGGTGTGTTGAGGTAAGTTGAAGCTAAACTATGCAGGACACCAGCCCTAATGGACCGGGTTTGGGCATCCCTGGTGTAGGCTATTATTAGAGCTCAATGTTGTGTATCTAATAATTTATGGAATACAAATCGCAGTCATAAATATAATGTGCGGAAATAAAATTCACGCATCTGTAATCATGATATTGTAAAGGAGAACGGAGCGTACTCGTAATTTTAGGAGGGTACAATTCCAAAATCTACCGTCAGACCAGACATAGATGTGACATTTTCTTTGTTTGTATACGACTGATGAATTTACGATGAGTGTACTTTACAAACGTAAAACACTTTCACTACGGACACGAAGACCTGATTATGACTTCAAATCAAAAAGCTTCATTCCCCTGTTAAGATTGTCACCACTCTCACAGGCATTAATAAACAAACGAGAGCCATCGATCGCACACAGTGCACCAGTGTGATCCTGATTCCAGACTAAAGAAAGCTCGCTGAGCACTTGAGCTCCCACACACAGATTTTTGCTATTCCCTCTTTGAGAAATGTCCGTCTTGAGCTGTAATTGAGGTTGAGGTCTATTTTCGCTGTGCTCCTTAGGATAGTGACCTAGCGTAACGCGAGTTAACGTCACAGGCAGCTTGTGCAGAATTTCAAGGAATTATTTAACGGTAACAGTATGTTTATTGTTTTTTTTAAACAGACAGACCCTTGATATAATGAAGATGACGGCAAAAAATAGTATCATAAGTTTATCGGGTGAAGGACTATCCCCTTAGATATCCTTTTACAGCCTAAGTATTCATGAATAAATGCCAATTTGTTAGTCGGAGCTCTAGAGACATCGTATAGCGTGCCGCAATGCTCCGTCTACCGTGTTCTAGTCCGCTACTAACCTGAACAGGGGCTTGTGGTGCTATGAAATTACCACAATCTACTAAAGATAATAACACGAACTCTGTTTGAATCATTCAAAACATAACAATTTATTAGTCAGATAAATGTATTATGCCAATTCAATCAGTCAATTCATAAAAGATCAATACAAAACATCAAATTATCAAAGATAAATCCAAGATGAAAAAGATGCATTCCTGACTTTGAAATATACATAACATGGGGCAGACCCCATGTTATGGGCTGATCTGGTTAGGCAGAATCGCCCTGCGTCTTTCTTAAACCTTACCTTAAATAATCCAAGAATTCCCTCAAGGAAGGGGGTGTGAATAACAAAAGGCATTCACACTTAGGGAAAAGTCACACCCTTCACAGTGGTTCAAAAGATGCCTGAAGTTATATATTTATTGTTTTGATTATATCTATTTCTGAGAGAATGAGACCATTGTACCAATCGCACTGAGACATTTCAAATGATATCAAACATGATAGTTAAAGTCAGTTTGGTTAATCTAGAACATTCAAACATTGAAATGACCATATGCGTGAGTTGGGGGGATGAAGCTGAGTTTCAGCATACTCAGATGCAAATGCAGCAGGAACTGGTTTTTCCTGCATTCCCCCCTGGTGGGTTGTGGAGTCCATTGGCCCTGTATTCAGCTCATGTTTTGAATTGTCAAAGACATCAAAAATATTTGTAATATTTCAATTTCCTACAGTCAGTTAAATGTTTGAGGGTTTATGCCTACTAGAGGCGATGCAATATTTTTACAAGACCTCTTATAGATCAAATGCATATTGATAAATTGTTTAAAAAACTTGGGATTAGGGATGTCAATTTCCACAAAATCCAGCGATCATCATTTAAAATAACGAACAGACACATCTGGAATTGAAGATAACGATTTATCGGTTAACTGCTCGTTATTTTAAATGATTGATTTTAACAGTGGAGTGGCGCTTTTTGATTCGTACTCGTAATCGGGTGTCCGTAGTGAAACTATTTTGTGTTTGTAAAGTACACCCATCGTAAATTCGTGAGTCGCATACAAACAGACAAAAAATGTCGCATCTACTATTCTGGACCAAGGTATGAGACTATTTATCAGAACTAAATGGAAACTCAGATCCAATGCGACCCATTGCTTTTTCTTATGCTGGACGATTCATCACTCTACTTATCCATCAACCAAAAAAAAAGCACTTTCAGTTTTTTTGACTATGGCTGGATCTAACTGATCTATCCTGGAGGCTTTATCTACTGGACATTATTAGTTTGGATTACGCCACAGCCAAAACAAAAGGAGCCAGTAAAAGAAACTGTACAATTTTGGTCAAATAAGAGAGAGACGGTATCATTTCTGTTTCAATCCTGATTTTGTACTTATTATTACAATATTACTGTTTTTATTTTTTTTTTACATATTTTGTGGGGTGGATCTCGGGCTTTGCTCAAAATCAAAATGTTCAATTTAAAAAGATTAAAAAATAAATAAATAAATGTCACATCTGTGTCTGTTCTAATCGCAGATTTTAGAATTGTACCCTCATAAAATTATGACTACGTTCAGTTTTCCTTTACGTTTTTATAAATTACAGATGCGTGGATATTATTTACGCACAGAATACTTCCGACAGCGATTTTATTTCATAATAACTCAGTTTTGTGGCCAGCATTATTCATTCACTTTCTTGTCGGCTTAGTCCCTTTATTAATCCGGGGTCACCACATCGGAATGAACCGATATTTAATCCAGCAAGTTTTTACTCAGCGGATGCCCTTCCAGCCGCAACCCATCTCTGGGAAACATCTACACACACTCATACACTACGGACAATTTAGCCTACCCAATTCACCTGTACTGCATGTGTTTGGACTGTGGGGGAAACCGGAGCACCCGGAGGAAACCCACGCGAAGGCAGGGAGAACATGCAAACTCCACACAAAAACGCCAACTGAGCCGAGGTTCGAACCAGCGACCTTCTTGCTGTGAGGTGACAGCACTGCCTACTGTGCTTTGTGGCCAGCAACTGTGATATAATCAGTATAATGCACATCCTGCCAGTTGTTATTGCAGGATAAACCCTTCAGTCTCACACAACATCTGCTGATAAACCTGCTGTGCTTCATTCTGCATCAACCACCAGCAATATTTGTTAACCCTTTATTGACCAGCAGAAACACTCACCCCCTCCTCGAAGGCCCAGCGTTTGCTGACTTCGTGCTCGTTGTGGTTGAACATCTCCTGGCGCGTCTCGATCACTTTGTGCCGCATGTTCTCGATCTCCGTCACTCTCTAGAGGGCGAAATACACATTCCTGAGCATCGTCTTCAACGGCGCAGCGCAAACATGTTATCTCGTCTGATGTCCAGCTACGCAAAAGGTCTACGTCACCATGAGTTTGACAGAAACAGTACGGTTTGCACACCCAGTGAATCGGCTGCGGCGGTGGGTGCTGGGAGGGGCGGTGCCATTTCGTCACGAGACCCCCGTCCCGCTTTTAGCCCCTGATTGGATGCCAACCTGGACCCTCAGGTTTTCATTGGCTGCTAATGGAAAGACACCTCTTCAAACCTGCACACGTTTGCTTGTCTCCAGGATCAGACGCCCCTGCCTACCTGTGCCACGTCTGAAACCCCACAGATGCAGACAGCGCTCTTACCTTAGCAGGGTCTGGCAGGTCCTCGGTGCCTGGCGGCAGTTCTTCCCCAGGAGCTTCAGTCTCTGCGTCCTCGTCTCCGCTGGGTTTATTTGCATTCGCCAGCTCCACTCGCAACGACACGAACTCCTCTTCTGACAGGAAGTGCTTGGGGTTGTTGCTCTGCACGTGGTCTTTAAACCTGAAAATGCAGCAACGATTTTTAATTACATTTTATAAATCTGCGACGCATGAAAAATAGCACATTGCGATATTTTGTTTTTCTGCGATAAACATTACGATACGGACACACTTTCACCAGATGACAAACGGCTGCATGATATAAAAAAATTTGACATTGCGATATTTCGTTTTTCTGTGATAAACATTGTGATACAATGTCGCATCTCTCCACTATCGTACAGCTCTAACATGTGCTGTGTCGGACACTCACTTCTGGAAATGCTGCGAGTACAGCTGTGTGGGAATGCAGAGCAGACGGTCGTAGATGGCGGTGACATTGGCCAGCTTCCCTTGCTCCGTCTCCCATGCGATATAAGCCTCCCACAGACGGTCCGAGCGGAAATCTGTCCCGCAGGCCAGAACTGCATGCTCATAGGACCTGAAGGAAAACAAGCATTTTTAGATTCTTATTAATTCTAATGTGTTTATATTATTATTTTTCTATGTTGAATCCTTTTGTTGGTTAGTAATGCTTTACCATGCACGAGACATGCCTGTGCTCTGCATAATTCTCACAGAAAGATCAGCTAGAAAGGGGAAATTTTCGGATTTGAGGCAAATGTTAGCATCCCTGACACACATCAATCTATGCAACCTATAACTGTCAGTCAGTAGGTTTGTCTGCTTTTTATACGGTTTCTATCCTTGTTTGTATTTTAAATGTAATTAAAAGTATAAACTGAAATGCACAGTAAAAGCAGAAACAGTAAAAGTAAATAAACACATTTTCCCTACCAGTAAATATTAATCCAAGCTAGAGCTGCACAATTAATCCAAAAAAGATGGCGACCTCGCTTCGACCCCTAGACGATCTTAATCCAGCATTTCTACGATTCTGCCAATCATATTTTCAAGTTAAGGAGAGAAGCTCTTTAGTGAACAGAACCCGCATATGCTGTGAGTAAAAGCTAATAAAGTTGTAAATAATATTCAGTTTGTGGCACAGAGTGATCGTTTAAGAGGCACGTGCGAAGTATGAACAGCACACGGCAGTGAAAATGAAACTGAAAGCGTGCACATCATTTAAATAATCATATGGCATTTTAGAGTTATGACTGCGACAAGCATGAGATACGTTTTTTACTTTCATAGCGAACACAGAGCTGTGCATGAAAATAAATGTTTACAGTGTCAGTATAACTACTCTAGCCTATATAATGAGGGTTTTACCAGTGAATTAAATGGGCTTATAATGTTGTCAATGACAGATTGCAAGCATAGGCCTCTATCTCAAACATAATCCAACATCAGAATTATTATAAGTAGAATAGAATTATTTATTGAAACCAGTAGACCTGCACATAATAATAATAATAATAATAATAATAATAATAATATGGTTTCCGCTACATTCACTCTTCCATGGCAAAATTCATCCTGTCACAGCGACATTACAGCTTCTCATTCTAAACATTTTATTTTTCTTAATAGTGGGTAATAATCTCACCAAAACGCATTAAAAGGCAAGTGAATTATAACAGCGCAAACTTTTCTGTAACCGTAGTAGTGCTGTGCGTCATTTGTTTAACCCTTTGGTGACTGACTGACTGACAGGTGCATGATGCCAGCAAACACGACGTATAGCCGTTTCACTTTACTTCAGGACGCATTAATATCGCTCTGTAGCTCTATTAGAGACATTTATAAATATTCCTAGCAAGTCTAATAAATGCTGGAGACAAACGCACTAAATCACGCTTCAGCAGCTTTTATTTGAGAGCGCACAAGAAGATCTGCGCACCCTTGAAGCGGCTAATATTTGGGGGGCTTGGAACGAGCAGAGGAAATCGGCACGCAGGCAAAGAGATCAGCATGCTGTAGGCTATTACATAAATTCCCCGATCCCGACTTCTAAAGCTGCGCTCACGACATTTGTCACTGAAATAACGCCACAGGTAGTTGGTTGATCTGTTTTAAAAAAATGGCCTGTCACCACAGCTGGAAAAAAATCCAAGAGGAAAGACTGAATATTGTTGTTTCACCATATGTTCATGAAAAAAACAATCTCATATTAAGCTTTATTTTACATCTACAGAATCTACCTGATCTTTACTTTAAGAAAAAATAAATAAATATTCGCGATTTACATTTTAGCCAGAATCGTGCAGCTCTAATCCAAGCTAAAGAAACTGACACCAAATATAAAGGCAGATGCTGATATTCTATAGCACTGTCACTAATGACTGAATCTCAGAGGAAGATCCACAAGATAAATGCAAACATGGCTGAATTACAGCTCTGACAGACATGAGGGCTGAAAAACAACAGAATATGGATCACAAGTGTGCACAATTTACAGTGCATGATCATCTAAAGCGCAGTTTAACTCTATAGATGACACTGTGGAGAAGCACAATGATGATGTTCAGCCCTCCATTATTTAACCATCATGACTATGATGGAAAGAATTGCTAACACCATGGGGAATAGCTATCAAAAAATAAATGCAAGTACTGAAAGACATGCCGGCAAACTGAAGAATAAAAGTATCCCAGGACTCCAGTGCTGCAGCTCGAGTGTGTTTGTGTGTAAAATGCGGGAGAACTGACGCCTCATTCACACGGGGCTTCAGCGTCAACGCTTGACAGAGGGCGTGTCTGAAGTTGAGGCTGACGCGATCGTCATAGCAGCAGCGTAAGCTAATGAAATTAGTCAGCATACAGCTACTGTCTCAGCTGGTGTATTTGCATACCGCAACCTGATTGGCTGTCGGCGCTTGATAAGTTGAGAAAGTCCAAACTTCTGCAGTGAGCAACGCCACTAAAGCGGCGCTGACGAAACCACAATGCAGTTCGGCAATGCGTGATGTCACCCATTCAAAGTGGAAGCAAAATAGTAAGCATTGACGCCTCGTGTATATGGGGTTGCACCCCATATATGGGGTTAGAATGATTAAGATCAGCAGATCAATAGTGAAACCTGGTAGTTAGTAGTGATGATGCACAATTACAAGCAGAATCTACAAATAAATTGATCATTGTTGTTTGCCTGTTTGGACACTAATTTTGTTTTATTTATCTTGCTTGGTGTACAACGTCCCTTTTAAAGTTGTCGTTGTGTTAGTTACACTTACGCCCTGATGCGACTCTCAGCCTCTCCATCGCTGGTGTCTTGATTCTCTCTTAGGAAAGTGATGTAATGAAGCCACAGGTCGACGCTCAGAGGAATGGCCTGCAGACCTCGACGGTACACCTGTCAATCAAATATATATATTTTGTTACGAGTTATTATAACAATAAAGACTAAATAAAAATGCATTTCTGTCCAAGCTGCATTTGTTTGCAATCATTACGGATTGAATGGGGAGGAGGGGAGTTACCAGCACAGCCCTATACAACAGTTCAACACACAAGTTAATCTATAGCTATGTTTTAGTCACAAATTCCCCAAAAATACTGACTAAACATGAGCATATTTTAAAACGGGACTTGGTTTGATCTGTCCTGAAAACAGTAATTCTCACCTCATCGGCCATCTGAATGTAGCCGTGTTTCCTCTCGATATCTGCATATTTCTTCCAGTAGCCGTAACAGTAGGGATAGTGCAGGAAAAATGCATCGAATGCTTTTCTTGAGCCAAGAAGGTGGTTCTGAAACAAAAGAAAAAGCCCACTGATCAGTGTCTGCTATACCTGATGGTGTAAATGCATAAAGTTTGCAATAATACAATTTTAATGTTTAGTTTTAGTTTTTCAGAAATTGCAAAACCTGCAACATAACTTGTAGTTGAAATTTATATGCTGAAAAAAAATGAACATTGCGCATTACACAACAATCTTTCTGCTCTTTGACTCTGATTGGTTGAGCCACATTCGAAACAGTTATTAATTACTCAACATGCATACATACACCTAACAACCATTTCAAAATAAGCTCTAAGCCAAAAAACAAATAAAAAATCAAGTCATGAACTGAAATAAATTTATTCCAAAAACCAAAAACTCCAATTGCACTTGGCCTAATACTAACCTGTGATATGCTTTGTAATAATTGTATATTATTTAATTTAAAAAGCACTGGAAGACTTTAAATTCAACTTAATAAACTAAATTATAATGATAAAATAACCACATTTTATTGACAGTGAACTAGTTGAGAGGCGTCAATCTGAGCCAACTTCTTTGCTTTTCTCAAGTCGCTTTCAGTGAACGTTACAGCATTATAAACATGCTGCATTGAAAATGTGATTTGTTTAAAATCAAGGATCTTCACTGCCAAATTGATTTTTTACACGACAGGAAACACAGCATTAAATTGTTTCACTGCATGTACTTTAAATATGGAACTGTATTTTACTAAGTTATTTTCAATGAAATTTCTACGCTCGCCTGATCCTCCTGATGGCGCTCTCATCTCGTTTTTCATTTGAAAAACTAAAAGCTGAAAAGCATTTAACTAATTATATTTTAATTAAACTACATTAGCGATGCTGTAAAAGAAACCTTATGACATTGAAAATCACATAAAGCTTTCATCGGTGGCTGAAAAACACTCGGCATGCACCATGCAGTGCGCTCAAGCTAGTCAACCTTTTGCTTTGCTGCTTTTGCACTGCCAAGACCATTAAAATTAACAGGATTTAAAGAGCAGAGCTTTGCATCAGTAAATGTATAACAGCAGATTTAGTCATCTACACCAAGTTATCCCGGACGAGTCCCCATTTTTGTGTTATGAGTTGCAACATAAAAGACGTCAAATACTAAAATAAAATTATTTATTATAAATGAAATATAACAACAAACAGATGTGCATGGATAATAAAGAAAATGAACATAAGATATAAACACAACGACACTTTAACTACAGGACATAGGGAATGCAGAACAAATCCAAGAGCTTAGAGTCAACCTGATTTTATGTATTGACAGGAGGACTCTGAGTAACACAGTGACCTCCCCTAGCAAACACAAAAGTTGTGAAATAAACACACAATTCACCAACTAATGATCAGCATTGAGTTATCCAATCAGGATCTGCCACATTCTCCAATGAGGTCTGGAGGAGACTTGGCATGGTCATTATATGAACAGCAGTCATAATTCACTGTAAACCACAGCTTCTGGTTGTGCTTGTTTGTTTAAACCCATGCCAGCTTCTCTAGCCATTTGCATGGTGAGAAAAGGTATGCTCAATAAGTTTAAACAAGTACACATAGATAGAGAGCAAATTTAGGTACGTTTTACCAATTATTTTGGATAAACTATAAAAGCGTATTTAATAATAACAAAACTAAAATATTTTATTGAGCACCTTTAAAAGAATCAAGTGTTAAAACATATAGCTTTGAAAAACAAACTCAGTATGAAGAAATTGATTCCTCATAGAATTGCATCAAACATAAAGCAAAAAAACATACTTATAATTAAAGTGTTTTTACAAATAGAGCATGTGCAGGACTTTCTCTAATTATTAATAATGTGTGCCTCATCCTGGAGTGAACAAATCTACAGCAAGTACAAACCCACCAGCTGTAGGATTTATACACGTTTCTTTCAACATTAGGGCTACTGTCAGGAAGCTTGTTTTGTTTAATATGTAGTAAAGCTGCACAATTAATCAAAAAAAGATTGTGATCTCGGTTCGACCCCCTAGACTAGGGGTTCACAAACTTTTTTCATCAAGTTCCACCTCAAAAATAATTGTCTCTCCAAGTACCACCAAAATAAGCAGTATTGAAAAACAGAAATCTAGTAGGCCCATTAAAGCAGCTACAACTCTGCATAGTTAAATAAACGTGTCTGATTACCTCAGAAATATAGGCTATATGTTATGGCATATTATATACATCATTTTTGATAAATTTTGAAATGTGTGTAGCATGCACATGACATATTTCATTCCTCCGCGTAACCACTAGAAGGAAGCCTGCGTACCACTAGTGGTACACGTACCACAGTTTGAGAAGCACTGCCCTAGACGGTCTTAATCCAGCATTTCTACGATTCTGCCAATCATATTTTCAAGTTCGGGACAGAAGAAAAGGCGGCTGCACGAGTCTTCTCATTGTTTCACATACATTGCTCAGTGACATGGACACCTCCAAATGATGTTGAAAGAGTCACATACTGTATTTACAAGGTATATTAAAAAAAAAAAAAAAGTTATTTCTGTCTTCATGTAATGCTGTACTTGCGGCCGGGAAATCACGTGACGTGAGCTGCTGTATGTGCGTGTGCGCCCTACTTTATGATTGTGTGAAAAGTGTGAAAGTGTGAAAGCACCCTAAGGCCCAGTTTACACTAGTGCTTTTTAGTTTTAAAACGGCGTTTTAGATCAAAAACGATCCGCGTCCACACTAGCGTTTCACCTAGCGTTTTTGAACTTCTCAGTCCACACTACGCCACCAAAAACTTATATCACGTGACTATTCGCGCACTCTGGGCATGCGCATTCTAGTATAAACAAGAAGCATGTGTCTCGCTCGGCATTTGGTTATTGTTAGTCAACAAACGCCGGTTGAACAATGAACGCGATGGCAAAGAACGCAAGAGTGGTCTTTTTGTGGACAGACGACGAGGTCGAGTTGTTACTAACAATTCAGCGTTTCCAAAACAACCCGTTTTCGGCGCTTGAAAACTCTGGCGTAGTGTGGACGGATGCCGTAACCATAGCAAAACTTAGCCGTTTTCAAACTAAAACACATTAGTGTAACGGGGCCTAAAGGTCCACCGGGACGCTTTTGCCCAAAGGCAATAGGAACGTGGAGCTGCTTATTGCACTGGAGAGCATCATTTCTTCATCACTAGAGCTGCTGCTTGAACCATACATGCTTGTCTAAATCGCCATTAACTTAAACAACAAGCATGTCAACTTTCTATCTTCTTCTTCTGTGTTACAAGCAGGTGTCAGAAGCTTAAAGTTGTGTAGCACCATCTAACGACAAGGAGTGATTTTGTATACTCTTCTGCTCTATTCCAGTAAACAATTGCTTGGGTTTAAATCTGAAAAAACCCTAATGATAAACGGAAACGAAACGCATCCCGGTGTGTACAAGCCTTAAGACTGTATTTGCACGCAATTGACAACAGTCACAGCCAAATGAAACTTTAGTAACAAGGCAGCACTATCGGGCCAGTAACCATCCTGTCGACTGTCCTGAGCATCTCGTACATAGGCCCCGGGACATCAGACAGTCCTTATCGTTGATCACTGTAGATGTCCTAATAGTGTTTTGATCAACCTGTCGCACATATTCAAGGCTCGGAATTAACCTTTCTTCTTGTTAGCAGCTCCTAACTTTAAAAATTTAGGCGCACCAGACAAAATGTAGTCACACCCACCAAAAACTATAAGCACCGTTACTACAGGTTTTATATTAACAGATTTACTGCATTTGAAATCAACTCTTATCAAAACTAACAAATAAACAAAAATCTGCATGCGCTCACCGGCCCTGCACGCACTGCTGGACAGGAATGTGATGAACTGAATTAACAATAATAACTGTGCTGTTCACCCAGCTGCTGTCTGATGACAATGACATATAACTTGTTGTTTGCATACGTTATCTTAATAGCAATACCGGTCTTTTAATGAGCTGCAATATTAGTTTCATCTCAGTGAATGCAGCTCTTTAGCGATGGTGAACGCGGTGTCAAGTCACACAACAGCGTCATGATGATTAAACAAAGGCTTAATTAACGTTAGAACATCTTCCCCCGGTTTCACAAACAAGGTTTAAGGCTAGTCAAGATTAAATTGCATGTTTGAGCAGTATGAACTCAAAATAACTTGCAGTGAGATGTCTTAAAATATGTCAGTGTCATATTTTATCACCAGGTGCACACCAGTAGTATATTTTTCTGAGGCCATTTTTATAAATGTGGCTTAAATAGCCTAATTTAACTAAGGCCTAGTCCTGGCTTAATCTAAGCCCTGTTTGTGAAACTGGGCCCTTGTGTTTAAAATGTGTGGATTCAGTGGCAAACACTGTTACCTGAAAACTCTGTCCCACCGATTTACGATAAATGCTTTAGTGATTTTCATAGCGCACTTTAAACACTGGAAGTCTTTTATTCACTCTTTAAAAAGTGTAAATGCTGGATTGACATTCAGCACATGATCACTGATCAGATGTGCCATTATCTGTAACTTTAGGTGGTTTCTAAAACGAAATCTGCCAGTGTTGTTAATATTCTCTCGTATCCAGACCTTTACATTTTGGTGGCTTTAGCTCCACGTCATTTAAACGGTGTGATTGATAGCTGATATTAACCAATCCATACGCGTCCTGTTCCAGCGCAGTGGGCCAATAAGAGTATGACAAGCACTGTGGGCTTTGTTTACTGCAGCAAGGTGACATGTCAACTGTTTTAAGGGATGTTTTATAAACAAATTTCTGGAGGAGCATGATCAGTCTTTGACGAGGCTAATTCATCACAGACAATCTTTCTGTTATCCAATCAGCTCAAGACCAAACCCCTATAAATAGTCAAACACGTCATACCTCTGATTCCTCTTGACTTCAGCATCCCTCCACCACCCCAACTCCACACTATTAAACCCGTTACCCATTTAAATCTGCGGGGTGAGCCTTCTGGAGCCGGGCTAGACACTGCGCTCGGACCCTATCTCTATCCTGATAAGGGGAATACCACGAGTCAGGGTGTCTTTCTGAGCTCAGAGCACAGATACGCCAGATACGCATAATCTATTCAGTCAAATATCTGTGAAAACTCTTGAAACCATTCCCGAGCGCTGCGTTTGGTGTTTTTAGGTGCAAAGATGCATATTGCGTGAACGCCTCTTAAACCCGCGCATGTGGTGAACATTTTTCTGTGAAAACTGATCACACGACAACAATTTTATGCACTTGCATACATGCTCCCAAATATATTTTGAGGTGGATTGGATATAATTTCAGGCGCATATGCGACCAAAACGGTTGCAATTTTGAACACCGATATCTGTCAACATATCAAAAAGTGTGTTTCAGTGTTGGATGACCCTTTAAAGTGCTTTAGAAATAGCACAGAGGATCATCTACAAGAATGTAAAGCTTGTGACATCCTAGCGTGCCTGATTTTACAGAGTGCAAAAAAACTGATCCAACCAGTTGGAGAAACTCTAAATGTTTCTTTTGCCAGCATTACGGCTCATTTTATATGTAGTTCTCATCATTATGTAGCTCATCATTATGTAGCTCATCATTATGTAGCTCATTATTATGTAGTTCGCATTCTCTTTGCCATTTGTTTATAAATTTCCTGTAAAGCACAGCTTATTAGGGTTCATTATTTTACTTAAGGCTCTTACCTCTTGTTCAACATACTGCAGGAGGTAAACCCAGCCATTGAAGTCTTCAGGATTATCTTCCACAACCTTGGACAAACGCTCATATTCTGTGGGAAGTTCTGGTTCTTGTGGCGCCGCTGGATCTGCTTCTGCTGCGGGTTCGGCTGGCTCTTTCGGCGCGTCCTCCAGCTCCATATTGGAGGGACTCTCAGAGTCACCTTGTCCCGCCTCCTTCACATCATCCGGCTGTTCTGATTGGTCCTCTTGCTGTCCGTTTGACTCTGGCGGCTGCTCAGAGTTTTCCGCAGCAGGTTCTGCAGGACTGGCACTTTGGTCAATGTTCTGTACCGCAGTCTTTAAATGCTCCACCGAAAACTCCATGTCGGACACCGGCTGGGTCTGCTCCTGGCTTTCTGGGGGTTGTTCTGTCGTCAAATCGGACGTGCTCAAGCCTGTGACATCATCAGTCCCCGTTGTGCCCTCCATAGCAGGAGAGTCCCCGCTTTCCGGGGATTTCGAGTCCAACATCCCGGTCATTGACTCACCTGGAGCAAATCACATTTGATTACATTTGAAAAACGATTGTGCAATTCTGTCATTTAGACCCCACAGAAGCGGTCAGATGTGACGCAATATGCTGGACTGCACAAACTGTTCAAAGCTTTAAACAGATAAACAAGAGAATTTAACCGAGTTCCTTCTTTAACTGGATGGCCATCATCCTGTCTTAAAGGATCTTCTGCCAAACACTAAAGAAGATATTCAGCTGAAAATCATTGACTTCCACTGTATTGTTTTTTCTACCATGGAAGTCAGTGGTTTCAGCATTGACAGCCTTCTTCAAAACATCTTTTGTGTTCGACAGAAAAAGAAATAAAGTAAAGAGAGAGTAAATAATGATAATAATTAAATAAATAAGATTGTGACGGTATGATAACCTTGAATAAAATATCACGGTTTCACAGTATTGCAATTACTGCTCTAAATTATATACTTTTTAAATGTCCGGATAAAATTAGGGCTGCGCAATTAATCGAAAATACGATTTCGATTTTGGCTTTTAACGATTATGAAAAACCATTAATCGAGGTGAACGATTATTCCATCACGTACCGCCCCCTTTCCAGTTGTGCACATGTAAAAACTATTTGCCTCTGCAAAGCTCAGTTTCACGTGAAAATGACTAAAAGCATGTGCTGTAATGTAACTTTTGCAGCACTGGATGCGCATCATTCATGTTTTTTAAAGCGCAAAAGAGCACATGCTGTTGTGTGTGTGCGCGCGCCATGCTTAGCCTTGGACAGGTAGCGTGTGCGTGTGAGTTTGCGTGAAACAAAACAAATAAGCCTTTCTCCAGAAGAAAAAAAAATAGGAAATACTGTAAAGAAACCCCTCTGTTAAACATAATTTGGGAAATATTTATATATAAAAATAAAATCATTGGAGGAAGAATATTTTTGACTTCAATTGATAATCGTTTTGAATAACCGTGATTACAATTATGACCAAAATAATCGTGATTATGATTTTTCCCATAATCGAGCAGCCCTAGATAAAATACAAAAACTTTTCCCCTTTGAACACAATATAATTTATTAAATATAAATAAAATATATTGTATATACCCTAATCTTTTCCCAAACCTCAGTATACCTTGAAAACGGTTATCCCATGCCTAAATGACAGTATTTTTAAGTTTTGGGTGACCATTTTGAAGTATTGCATGAACAACGAGTGATGGAAACATCACATTTCAACCAAAATTGCCTTAATTTGCAAGAATTTTTTGGTTTTAGACTTATGCAAAAAAGGGTCAATGTAAATAATGTGAGAATGCATTTACCGAATAAACTGATACAGAGCACATTACACACACAACTCCATTAAGTTTTTCTTGTTTACTATTGGTTGCTAGGTTCCCAATACTACAGTCAGCCATTCTAAAAATTTGATGTGACCCATCTCATTAGCATTGGCATTTTTTATTTAATTTAACTTAACAAGATTTGGTTCACTTTAAAGTGAAAACCTGGCTATTGACATGGATCATTCATCCTACAAACAAAGATTGAGCTCATAAACTCAAAATTTTTACTTAATGTGGATTATTTTGAGACCCAATCACACAGAGGAAACATGTAATAGTCAATCAGTTTGCATTTAATTTACCTCGTAATAAGCACACCAAATGTTAATGGAAGAATATCGCAAACATTATTAATGTGTGCATTTGTTAGTAGTTATTTAGACTAAATCAAACTGTAACCGTTACAAATGATGTTTATAATAGTTTTTGGTAAATTTGGCTCCTTTTTACCTGTATTTTAATAAGTTGTCATGTTTAAGGCCAGATGGCTGATGATAAACTATACTTTAGCCTGTAATTAAGAGATTAACCTAATAATGATTGAATCCACAAAATTATTAAAGCTGGCAGAATTAACAACCTATTTATTTAAGTACATAACGTTTGAGTAAGATTTTTTGCAATACCGACCATTCCTACGACAAAGTTTACAAATCAAGTCAGAAATGTATTAGAACACATTACCACAAGTAAAACTTTAACTGTTAAGCTTAGTGTCGCGTTTTAAAATGTTTAGCTGGCGAAACCAAAAAATAAGATGTTAAAGCAAAATATTTATCATTAAAACAATTAGTGACAGGTCGAACAGAAGCGTCACGTGATGCAGTGTTCTCTTGCATAAACTGACGCCTGATTTGAATGCAACTCGCACATTTTCCTAAACATAAAAATAAATTCGACAGATTAAGTATTTCAATAAATCAGAACGAACACACGATAATATTCGTAAACATTCAGAAACCTCGACGATATGTTCGGTACTGATCTGTTTGTTTGGGGTTTCCTAGCGAAACTCGCGCGATGATTCGTGGAAGTTAGCGAATATTAGCAAACCCATCGCCTGCAGGTGAAAACACGCTTTAAATGCGCTCTACTGCACGACGAGCCGTTAAATACAAGATATTATGATAAAAATCGCTTTAAAATACTGTATGCGTGTGTGAAGAGTCAGTGAGCTGCTGTGCTTTCGGCCTGTTTTCTTTACGCGTTTAGCCGAACTGCTAACGAGGAGCCGCGCACGTTTCCTCAGAGCTTTCCTGAAGCTAAACGCGGGAAAATCTGCAACCTAGTGCTTACTTACCGGAATCTTCCATGAAACTCGGTTAAACCGGCAGATATTTTCACGAGTTCTTTGAAGTTTTATGCGGCTGAACACATGTGGTCGAGCGGCCGCGTTCCGTCGTGCTGTGTCGAAAAGGACACGAATGTGCTGCGCATGCGCACTGCGACGCGGAACTCAGTCGCTCAAAAGACGCTCGTGACGTCACAGCGTCCCCAAAAATGCAGGGTTCCACACAATTTATTCCTGTTGTCCCAACACAAATCGATGAAGTTAACTTAACACGTTTAACAAATTTGTGTGTATTGAACATAAAACAGTTAAGTTGTCCCAATGAAATCTCAAATGTTGTTTCAGCTCATTCTATATAAGTAGTTTGAACAAGTAAAAACTATATTTTTTGAGTGAATGGTTCCTACCTGGGGTTATCTTATATTTAAACATACATTAGAAATACAGATTTCTTGTAAAGATGTTTTGATATACAATAATAATAATAATAATAATAAAACTGTGATTATTAATTTAATGATTATGTATGGGAAATACCTAGTGCTGTCGCCTCACAGCAAGAAGGTCGCTAGGTCGCTGGTTCGAGCCTAGGTTCAGTTGGTGTTTCTGTGTGGAGTTTGCATGTTCTCCCTGCGTTCGCGTGGGTTTCCTCCGAGTGCTCCGGCTTCCCCCACAGTCCAAACGGTCCAAACACAAGTGGTACAGGTGAATTGGGTAGGCTAAATTGTCCGTAGTGTATGAGGGTGACAGGCCCAGACGACAGGCCGGCCGGAATGTGTAAAAAACAAGTCGTTATCATATGGACAAGTCTAAATGGAGGACTTGTTCCAAAGAGCCGACCCCGCAACCATACGGCACTAAGGCCAAAGAAGAAGAAGTATGGGAAATACCATGCACACAAACAAAAATGTTCCAATATTAACGATAAACCTAACATTTTTTTTGTTTAAAATTGATCTTAAGCATTATATTAAAACCCTAAAAGATCTTAAAATTAAAAGAGCTGTAAAACTCCTGTAATTTGTTATTTCTTATTTTCTATTGATCTTTTCTCTTGACGTTCATGTAAAAGCACCCAGTGCTGTATCCTCTCTGCACTCTCTATGCACATGAACACTCCTGTTATGCAATAAAAACAGAAGCTATTGTGAATTCTCTTATACGTGCTGCTGGGAATTTTTGTTTTATTTACAAAGGTTTCATAATTCATATACCAACTCGTATAGACTACTAACATGAAATATAACATTTAAATAATTAATTTAACATTTAATTTAACACAGATTCATCAATAAGAGATGTGCGTTTAAGAAATATGATGAGATCTTTTAAGGAATTTGATCATTTTTTCTATTATTGTGATTTAGTACTTTTTTTTACTTTTTAAAAAACATTAGTTTATGAAAAAATATAATTTTTTTGTACATTTTTAAAATAAAATTTGTTCTCTCTTTTCTGTTTATCCAATGTGGATATTGTGTAAAATGATGGTAGTAGTTTACTGTATTATTTGTATTGTTGAAATAATAATCAAGTCATGCGGCCTTAAAAAATCAGTTTACCATATATATATATATATAAATATATATATATATATATATATATATATATATATATATATATATATATATATATATATATATATATATATATATATATTAGGGGTGTCAAAATCAACGCGTTAACACACGTGATTAATTTAAATATTTAACGCATTAAAAAAAGAACGCAAATAACGCAGTTGCCGGTTTTTATGTCCTGTTGTGGCCAACATGTGTTTAGGGACGGTGCGTGCATAGAGGCGACCAAGGCGGACGCTTTGGGCAGCAGAATAGCGAGCCCACTTTCATCAGCTACACCGACCCCCTCCCTCACGGTCCTCGCTTTCATCAGCAAAAAGGTCACTTTCTTTTACACTTTCGGGCCTGAGGGCGGCGTGATTGTCGTCTGCCTAAAGTGCCAGTCCAGCTTGCCTCGGCCCTGCGTCTGTTAAACATGCAAAGAAAGAAGACCAAGGAGGCGCTTTCAGAAGGAAAGTTTCAGTATAAAATAATGAATGTGGCATCATCAGGCTATCCTGCGTTTCCTCCAGTTTCATGCAATTTCGGGTGTTTCCTCTTTAGCTGCAGTTCAGCAGTTCACTCTCATTCAGCAGATTTTCATTCAGGATGTTTTAATGGAGTTTGATATCGCATAGCGAACGAAAAAAACCTCCGCATTTTGGGACTCGCGTGATCCTTTAAGGTATTAAATATCGCTGCTTACATGGTCGACTCTTAATCAGTATTATCTTAATCATAAAAGCGGAGTATTGGTGTCCAGTACTCAGTGAAAATGGCAGATGAAATCACAAGCTGTCAGACAGCCCTATTCTCTAATCATGCGCTCACATTTCATAAGTTTCACGTTGCTGTGTCAGAATCCTTGCTTGTAAAATACAGCCATACTTTAGAGCGCGTAGTTTAAGCAAATTTGATGAACGCCATCGTGCGTGTTGATGACCCTGAAGGGATCCCTCCCTCGCTCAGCGGGTCCGCTGTATTGTGCGCGCGTCTTTGTGTAGTCCACTTAGAATCCAACATGGAAATCATTTTTGTTTGTTCTTGGCTTTGATTGTTTTGAAACACAAATGGCAGCCTGTCCTTTTATTTCCGTAATAAATACACCGTTTCCTGATTAATCATGATTAATTACAAAAAAAAGTGTGATTAATTACGTCAATTTTTTTAATCATATGACAGCCCTAATATATATATATATATATATATATATATATATATATATATATACACACACACACACACAAACACTCACTGACTGGCCAATTTATTAGGTACACCTGTCCATAGAAAGGCAACAGTAACTCAAATAAGCACTCGTATCAGCCGAGCTCTGCAGAAGAGCATCTCTGAACACACAACACGTCCAACCTTGAGGTGGATGGGCTACAGCAGCAGAAGAGCACACCGGGTGCCGCTCCTGTCAGCTAAGAACAGGAAACTGAGGCTACAATTCACACAGACTCACCAAAACTGGACAATAGAAGATTGGAGAAACGTTGCTGCTCTGATGAGTCTCCATTTCTGCTGACACATTCAGATGCTCGGCTCACAATTTGGCATCAACAACATGAAAGCATGGATCATCCTGTCTTGTATCAGCGGTTCAGGCTGGTGGTGGTGGTGTAATGGTGTGGGGGAGATTTTCTTTGGGTCCATTAGTACCAGTTGAGCATCAACGCCACAGCCTACCTGAGTATTGCTGCTGACCATGTCCATCCCTTTATGAGCACAGTGTCTCCATCTTCTGATGGCTACTTCCAGCAGGATAACGCAGCATGTCATAAAGCTCAATCATCTCAGACTGGTGTCTTGAACATGATGATGAGTTCACTGTACTCAAATGGACTCCACAGTCACCAGAGCTCAATCCAATAGAGCAGCTTTGGTATGTGGTGGAACTGGAGATTGGCATCATGGATGTGCAGCCGACAAATCTGCAGCAACTGTGTGATGCTATCATGACAATATGGAGCAAAATCTCTGAGGAATATTTCCAGTAGCTTGTTGAATCTGTGGCAAGAAGGATTAAGGCAGTTCTGAAGGCAAAAGCGGTCCAACCCGGTACTAGTAAGGTGTACCTAATAAAGTGGCCGGTGAATGTATATATATTGGTTTTAAATTGATTAGTTAAGTTTATGCGAAGTATAAAAATACTGTTTATTGCCTTGAAATATTTAATGTTATTTTGAATCATGTTTAACTTTTCTCCTCTTTTGTAAGAGTAATTTAGTTTCACTAAAGAGTGTTTGTTACTGAACGGCTCTGTTTGACTCTGTTTATTGAATAACTCTTCAGTCATTTAAAGACACTCTATTGTTGCTATACCTCTACTGATGTATTTAAAGATTCTATGAGCAAATGTTTCTTTAACTTGCTGATATTTTGTTTAATGTCCATCATTTTGACTTGATTTGATGAGAGCAGCACAGAAGGCCGAGGTCAGGGTTTGTCTTATTTATTGTCGCTTTACAATCATGCAAAAATAGTCAGAAAAGGTACAATATTCTGAATAACGTCCAATCATGAACACAAATACTGACGATCAATCGACGGCCACCAGCTCCACCTCGAAGATCAGCTTGGCGTTGGGAGGAATTCTGGGCAATGAGGGTTAAGGGCAAACCTGTGAATCTTAAAGAAGTTCATTTGTGTGTGAACTACCCCTTTAATCAGCAGTGTGTGTAGTGTGTGTAGTGCGGAGACAGAAAAGGATACTTGGCGTCAGGAAGACCTTTTTTCCCATACGCCCATTCAGACTCGATCTCCAGCCGCGCCGTTTCGCCTTTACTCATCGTCAGCAGACCCTCATCCCACTGAAACACACACACAAATAAATAAATAAATAAAAACATGTGCATGCATACAAACAAACAAACAAATAGGTGCACACACACACACATACCAATATACACATGAACACACAGACAGACACGCACACACACACAAATAAATAAACATGTGCATGCATACAAACAAACAAACACAAATAGGTGCATACACACACACACACACACACACACACACAACAATATACACATGAACATACACACACACACACACACACACACACACACACACACACACAAAAAATAAACATGTGCATGCATACAAACACAAATAGGTGCGCGCGCGCACACACACACACACACACACACACACACACACACACACACAAATAAATAAACACATGTGCATGCATACAAACAAACAAACACAAATAGGTGCATACACACACACAGACACACACACACTAATATACACATGAACACACACACACACACACGCAAGCAAGCAAGCACGCACACACACACAAATAAATGAACATGTGCATGCATACAAACACAAATAGGTGCGCACACTCACACACATGCACACACACAGAAATAAATAAACACATGTGCATGCATACAAACAAACAAACACAAATAGGTGCATACACAGACACACACACTAATATACACATAAACACACACACACACGCGCAAGCAAGCAAGCTCGCACATACACACACACACACAAATAAATAAACATGTGCATGCATACAAACCCAAATAGGTGCACACACTGACACACACACACACACTCACATGTACACACACACACAGAAACAAATAAACACATGTGCATGCATACAAAAACACAAATAGGTGCACAAACACACACACACACACCAATATACACATGCACACACAGACACACAAATATATACACAAACATGCATGTGCATGTGAACACACGCAAATAAAACACTCACACATATATGCGAACAGACACACAGAGAATACACAAACATAAACATTAATACAAACATACAAAAACATGCAAAACACACAAAAAATATGTGCACACACAAACACACACACACACACACACACACAAACAAACACACACACACACACAAACACACAAAAGCACAAGCCCTCATACACACACACACAAACAGAAACACATGAACACACAAAAACCGAAAGACAGACACACAATCATGAACGCACACAAAAACGCCTGTGTGCAAACACACACCAAATACAAAAACACAAACATGAAGACCCAAACATGTACGCAGACATGCACACGAACACGTCAACACAATTACAAAACCAGCACAGCAGAAACTGACCCAGGATCAGTTTAAATGTCCCATGAAATCAAGATAATTATGTGTGTTATTATCAGTAAGCATATCTGTATTCTAGTGTCTCCAAAACAGACACAACTCATATTAGAAGAGATAACCCTGATGTAATCAATCAAGGATTGTTTTTGCCGTCCCCTCACACTTCAGTTTCTCATCAAATTTTCTGACCAATCAAATGCTCTCTAGTGTCTGACCTGCCCAGCCCCCACCTTCTCATTGGCTGTTCATTTGACGTGCTCGAGCTCAACCGCTGGCAGAGCTGTGAGGAAAAGCAACACGCTATTGGCTGAGTTATTAAAAATAGGAGGAGCTACTCCATGCCCCGCCCTCTGCATGTCTCAGTTGAGACTACGCCAAACATCCAATAGACAAACTCCACATTGAAAGCATCTGTACATCTGACTGAGCTGAGATCAGTGTGTGCTGCACATCTGCATGAGGAACGGATCAGTAACTCACTCCTCTGATGACTTTTCCCATCCCAACCTTAAAGCTCAGCGGTTTCGACTGCTTCTTCTTTTTTGCAGCTGAAAGACCAGAAGAGAATCAACATGAGCAAACATATCAACATCCAGATCACTTACAGCAGCTGACCTGAGATCAGCCTACAGCAATACAGCTCATTAAAACACCTTAAAGGGCATCCATTATGGAGAAATCACTCTAATCACAGGTGTGTGTGAGCAGTGTGTGTGTATCTCCAGCCTCTAATAATAATCATGAGTGAACTGTGTACTAATCAAGCTTGATGAACACAGTCTGCAAACACACTTTGATTGACATTCTCCTTGTGTATGATGTCATCAGAGAGGGAAAGCCCCGCCCACTAGTGTCCATCTCATTAGCATAAGCCGCAGCCCTGAGTGAGAAGCAGCCGTCTGACTTCACATACACCCTTTGGGGCAGGGGTGGGCAATTCATTTTTCCAAGTGGCCACATTAGTCTCTGGGCGGTTTTAGAGGGTCAGACCAGTACAGTTCATTTGCATTTAAAAAAAATCATTGTGAAACTATTCAATAAACATTCATAAAAGCTGTAAAGTTCAAGAAAGGATCAATTTTACACCACAAGTATTTTAAAGACTATATCAACCTCATATAAATGCCACGGGGTTGTTTGTTTGATTGCTTCACCTTAGTTATCTTTAATTTATTCATTCCTCCATTTACTTATTCATTTATTTATTTAAAATTTATGTCCGTGAGAGAATTCTAGCCAGTGTTGAGCTAAACTACTGCACTGGTGAGATGGAAATGTGATGTAATGATCATCACTGAGAGATGATCTGTATCTGCTAGGGCTGGCCGATCAAATCGCTATCAGTATTTATTGAACGAACTCCATTTTAAAATAAATTAATTAATAAATTATATATAATTAAAAAACACAGTTGAAGTCAGAATTATTCGCCCCCCCTCTGAAATTAGTTTTTAAATATTTCCCAAAAAATGTTTAACAAAGCAAAGAAATGTTCACAGTATGTCTGATAATATTTGCTCTTCTGGAGAAAGTCTGATTTGTTTGATTTCGACTTGAATAAAAGCAGTTTTTAATTTTTTAAACATCATTTTAAGGTCAATATTAATAGCCCCTTTAAGCTATAGTTCTTCCCGATAGTCTACAGCAGGAGTTTTCAAACACTAGTGGGTCGCACAGTGAACAAAGGTGGGTCGCGCAACGTCACATAGCTGCAGTTGTATTTACATTGCGGTGAATCAAAACCAGTATGATTGACAACAATAACTCAAACCTCTCACCCTAAAATATTTAAAGTGTGTTTCCTACAAAAAGACAAAGCTGGTTATGTTTCACAGCTGTCTTTTCCTTTTTTTCCACTCGACATTATGACCACTGCTCCGTTTGAGCCCTCGCAATCTGCGTTTAGCCGGTAGAGCTTTCAGTAAGGGACCGTCGGAAAAGTGCTTTTATTTTCATTTTTATTTTTTTTATTTTTTTTTCGCTCGGTCCTGCGTGCTTTATTTTAAACACTACTAATTTTCTCTTAAACGAGCACAAACAGTTACTAAAGTAGTCGAATGCTTCGTTATAGATCTGTGCATTCTTACATGAACACCTCTGTTATCAAACAAAACACAATGAGAAAATGACTATGGTAACTTTAATCAATATGCAAACACAATTAAACGGGAAGTAGATTTTACAGCTTTATTTATTTCTGTATAGGCCGTTGATTTTAATAGGTTAAACCTTTTATTTTATTGTCAATATTTTCTAATGTTTGCTATGTATTCAATTATTTGAAGCCATTTGTTGTCCCAAATTTTAACATCTCAACGTTGACAGATTGCTAATCAATAAATAGCTATAGTGCTATCTGTTAGTTTAACGTCAGCTAATGTTATGGAAGGGCATAGATGTTATGGAAAATAGTAATAGTAATGTAACTACCCCATCATTCCTTCCTCAAGCAAATGTGTAAATATTAGATCAATTTAGCATTAATGTTAATTGCCATGGCATATTTATCTGACGTTTTCCCAGCTTGTAGTAGTCAATAAAAAAGCTAGTTAGTTTCTTATGACTATACACTAGCAGTGGAATTTACTGAGATGTGACGGGGCTTGATTAAAGGTTGATCATATTCTCTGCTGAAAAAGAAGAGGATCTTTTTCAACCAAACAATGATCAGAGTTACAGCCAGCATCCCACAAAAAGCACTTCGAGCCTCATCTTGTGCATATCAAATAGCAAAATCCAAAAAGCCGCATACCATATATTTTTGACTGCTTTGAATGGATAAATTTTTTTACCCATTTTTCCATATTAAAATATTATGCTGGGTCTTGAGATTGAATTACTTGCCAAGGTGGGTCCCGGAATAAAAAAAGTTTGGGAATCCCTGATCTACAGAACAAACCATCGTTATACAATAACCTGCCTATTTACCCTAATTAACCTATAGTGAAGCCTTTAAATGTCACTTCATAGACACAAGAAGTGTCTATGTTTATAGAAAAAGTGTAGAAATGTTTCTAGAAGTGTCTTGAAGAATATCTAGTCTAATTTAATGTGCTGTGATTATGACAAAGATCAGTTATTAGAAATGAGTTATTAACACTATTATGATTAGAAATGTGTTGGAGAAATCTCTCTAATAAGCAGAAATTGGGGGGAAAATAAACAGGGAGCTAATAATACGGATTGCAACTATATATAAATAAATAAATAAATAATTGAATAAACACTTCACACAGACTGATCAGAGAAGTGCAGCAGGCAGCATGGGGAACAGGGGCTGTAAAATGCCCAGGTCTGATTTACAGACATCAGAGAATCATTTAAGATCTTGTAAAAGGGGCAGAATACTGTAGGTCTCCTTTAATACACTGATCACGGCTGAGGCTTTTATTCCATTTCAGAGACCTTAATAACTGCAGAAATAAGCCCTATTTGCACGAGACTGGTTTTACTTGACAACGTTAGAGAAATTTCTCCAAATATGCAAAAAACAAAACAACAAGTATAGACAGGTATAAGTGAATGGAAAAAACAAACAACACCCTCCTGTGAGACATTTATTTCTCAAGTGTTTCTCAAATGTTGTTGAACAGATTCAGGAATTCTTCACAGTGTTTCCTCTAATATTTGTTCTTCTGGAGAAAGGCTTATTTGTTTTATTTTGGCTAGAATAAAAGCAGTTTTTAATTGTTTTAAACACCATTTTAAGGACATTATTATTCGCCCCCTTAAACTATATTTGGTTTGGATTATCTCCAGGGGTTGGTTCTTCGTACGTGGATTACTCAATTAGCTGGATTTTGTTGTTGCTTTGACATGATCCAGGATCGTTTCATTCTTCAAAACTCATCTGAGAGTTGTTGTCATAGTAACAATTCTGATATATCAAACCTGCGTAGGAGCAGATTCAATTCATATAAACAGGATTAGATCGGCTCAGTGTAAGCAAAGATAATACTGAAAGTATGTTC